TAAGCAAAGCTGTGTTAAATTTGAGACATAAGTACTTTAAATAAACGAGAAAATAATAATAAATGATATTTAAACATAAAATAAATAATATAATTATGTTTAAAACAAAACATAAACTGCTACTATCATTTTAATTTTCTCAGTATTTAATATTTAATTAAATTATTGACCATTAATTAGGGTACATTTATTTACCTTTTAATAGATTTTAAATAACAATTACTATGATGACTGATCATTTACAGCTAACATCTGAACTTAAATTAATCACATTTATAACTTTAATGTTCTTAATACTATAAAAAAAAATATTAAAATTATCCGAGTATAACATATTTAAACTTGTATACCATCAACAAATTTAGTAGAAGTATATATATATAAAAAAAAAAACACATAATAAGAAGACATATATGAGTATTGAATAAATTACAAAATAGGAATATATTACTATAATAATAATAATAATAATAATAAATATATTATTATTATTATATTCATATTCAGTGACACTAACTATGAAGTGTAAAATTATATTGCACAAACATAGTAAGAGATTTGTGTTACATATTGTATAACTTAAAAGTAATAGATCATACTATATAATATAAATTAATGATATTCAATCATGATAATGAGATAAATATAGGATACAACATTTATAGTAATTATTATCTTTTTCAATACTTCAATAAATATTTACTGTCACATATGTTATTATTTAGTACATATTTTTTTAGGTAATTTTTATTTGACAATTATATTATATTGTTAAAAAAAGTAGAGGTATTAATATATAATAATTAAGTATAATGAATTTTAGAAGTGGAATTAATGCATTTAATTTTAAAATCTAATTTCTAACAATTATAATTGTTGTATTTTGTTATTCTATTTAATATTTGTTTTTATATATTATAAAAAATATTTAATTAAAAACTACACTTGAGTAAATATTATATTTTTTAAAGATTTGTTAAAAAGTTATAATATTAATTAACCAATTATTATACATACATTTCTCTAAAGAAATTAAAAATGTTAAAATACAAAATAAATAAAAATAAGAATATACATACAAGTAAGA